TATTTATTTATTTATTTATTTATTTATTTATTTATTTACCACTACACTGTTGGATACTTATATTTAATGTGGCAAAAGTTCCAGTGAAATATTGATTCTCAAAGTTTTGAAGAGTGTTTCATTCATTTCAGAGAGCCAGCATACTGTTGAGAGAAGAAACGCACCCATCAAAATAATTCTAAAGCCAATAATTTGTTGATTAAACATTAAGCTGTCAGGGAGCTTCACTGCTGGGCGTGAACTCTTCCAATATATCACAAAAGGTTCTTTCATTACTAACTTGGCACAAGCCTATTTTCAGTTTAACAAAAATGTTTAGTAATGTAATAAACGTACGCTCTAGCAAAAGTGTTTAACCCTCATCAGGTCTGTGATTTAGTAGTCATTAATTACTAAGTTTGTGTGTTGCTTTTACTTAATATCTGAAACCTGTTTTGTTCATTCTAACTGTTGTGCTAAATTATAGCTTTGTAGCCATTAGTAAGGTTGGATCTTACATTTACCAATACCAGCCTTGGAAATATTAAAGAAAAGCTACTGTCTAAAAGACTGCACTCGTGAATGTTAGACTCAATTGACCTATGCCCCATTTTCATTGCCCTTGCTTAAATGCTTCATTTCCAATTATTCCTCTTACTCTTACGCCCAGCTGGCATCAGGTTAATATTGATTTTCTTAAATGTTCATGAAAAGACGAGATGCTTTTAAAGAGAAGGGTCACTAGGGAAACATGCATATCCACTTGTTGGTTGCTGATTGGTTGCTGGAGGTTGCTGGAAGTTGATAGAGTGAAAACATTTGCAAACACCCAAACAATGCTGCATGGCAAACCTCTTTGTGATTGCTTTGGTGACAAGTAGTTTGCTGAGTCATTTGCAAATACTTGTAAACTACTTGCCAAGCAGTGGTGAAACTGAAAAGTGGAACATATTGAAAAGAGAAAGCATCTGCCTTCAAAATAAAAGTTAAGTCTTTCTGAAAAGTAAATGGCGAGGGTTTGCAAAATTACAGATGTTGGTGGAAATCTGCATTCAACCAAAGATATCACAAGGAGGTTTTTGGTGCAGCACCCTCTTTGTAACAGATTTTAATTAGTGGCACACAGCAACCTCCAGCAAGCATTACCAACCGCTTGGGGAAATACATATTTTTCCATCGTGAAACACTGCTATGCCAGGGGGATGCCACCTGGTCTCTAAGCCTGTGCGACTGAGGTCTTTAAGAGATGGAAGCACAAGACAATACAAGAAAAATAAGAATGCTTTTAATTCTGAATACTGCAGCACCGTAGTGAGATCCTAAAAATAAAAAAATTGAGACACAAACCACAGATCATTTTTAACTCACTATAGATATTTTAATAATTATAACATATAAGATGCTGCCTCTGAACCTTCAGATCCAGAGTAGAGTTGTAAAATAATACATATACAAGACTTACCTCCTCTTTGGTCTTTTTAGACAGTACTCGGAGCCAGTCTCCGATCATGCTGAGGACGGCTGCAAAGTACGCTAAACCTATGAGGATCCAGAACCACACCAGAGGCTTGTACCACTTCATGTAATCGATCTTGCGATTTCCACCTGAAGAGGAAGGAAAATGTCGTTATGGTCAGAAATTAAGCCCAAAACTTCAACAGAACAGCTTATTGTGCGCGAATTTTGGAGCGTAGCTCTACCTGCCACGTAGTCTCCTATTCCCACTGTAGTGAGCGTGATCACGACAAAGTAGATGGCATCCAGTGTGGTCCAGCCTTCAATGTGTTTGAAGATGACAGCAGGGATGGTGACAAAGACAATGCAGCCAGCCAGGATGAACAGGATAACAGATGTGACCCTTATCTTCGTCTGGCTAATCTGCTTGTGTTTTTGCTGAAAAGAACAGGAGGTGCATTTAGAACCAATATAAGCAACTAAAAAGATGATGTAAGAGTGACAGTGTGAGCCACAAAAAGCAATGAAACATGGCTCACAAACAAAAAAGAAGACACCATTACATATGCCATTAGGGTAAGAATAAAAATGCAGCTAAATGTTAGAATGATATCTGCATATTTGACTTGTTTACACAGCCAGTAAAGAAGAAAACATCACAATGTGTTACTTGTATCTCACCCTGAATATCTTTTCAACTTTTAAGACGCTTTTTACAAAGATGGTCCCCAGCTGGTCTCCGATCCCCGCCAAGAGGAAGCCAAAGAGAGGGATGCCAAATATGGCATAAAGGATGCAAAAGATTTTCCCGCCTTCCGTGCTCGGAGCTATGTTTCCATAACCTGTTGAACAATTGAAAGCAGAATGAGGAGGAGGAGGAGGGGAGAAGAAATGAAGAAACAGGACAGGAAGGTCAAAAAACAAAGCAGGGCTAAGAAGAGTGAGTGGTAAGATGAGAAGCAGAAGACAATCAAGACCTCCTTATGCAACATAATCAATTGAAGCTCTTATGTAATACCTTTCAGTTCCAGGAGCAGGGCTTGAGGTAAGTAATGCAATAATTAGATTCCCCTTAAAGAAAATTGAATTAATAATGACATACTATGATACAGGGAGGTAAAAGGAAGGAGCTTGAGCAGCGTCAGTGAGGCAGGAGACACAAATCACTATCTCCTGTTTTAACCTGCTGAAAAGCAGAATATTAGCATAATACCTGTTCTTTGTGTAGAATATACTACCTTTATTGAGAGAAGTAATATGTTTACACATGGTGGACAACATACAGTACAGTGCAAAAGTCTTAAGCCACCTCTCATTGCTTTTTACTTCTAATTGTGGATATTGGATCAGAAAATATTGGTATATTAGTGAAAAAGTATATTAGTAAAAAAATGGAGTCAATGGCTTCAGCATCAGAAAAAGAAAGCATGCAAGGATCTATTTCAAATTTCAGTCTCTTTAAGAGAAACACATTAACAGTATATATATTGCTCATATAATTTTAAAATGAGTGTCTTCAATTTTTCAAGCCACTGGACATAATAGATCAAAGGAAAAAGATGATGTCCTTAAGGAGGCGTCAATCTTATCCTGTTTATCTGTAGCGTTAAAGCCTCCCTGTTTTTGTTTCTGTGGAATGTCTAATTAATATTGATCGTATCCTGCTATCTTTGAAGGTCTTCTCAAATATTTTCTTTTTCTCTTAATTAAAAATACATATTATTTGCTTTTTTTATTATTAATGGAGGGGGTCCTATGGGGTGATATTTGTGTTGATCTTCTATTTGTGCACTAGATTAAATGAAGCAAGCTACCAGGTTAATTAAATTTCTAGACTACACCATTAAGGAGGTCAGGGACATGCTGTTTTTCCAGTCACCTAAAGGATGGTACCCACAGCTGATAGAGGGAATACAAACAGTAGTGCCTCAGCTTTGATTTTGTGATTGTATATCAAAATGTTCCATCTGATCAAAGCCAGGTACCCAAAGTCTTTTTACTTTCATTTTTAAAAGAATTTCAGTGAGTCACAATTTACTGTTTCTCTTTAAAAAGCAAGAAAGGGCAAAATGAGACAATTAAAAAAAACTCAACAGTGTCTTCATCATACACTGAATAATGAGTCAGGTCTCACATACATCTTCAACAAAATGACATCAGACTGAATTCTCGTGAATGGGACTCCCTCTCTCTCATATATACTTAAGAATGGCAAGGCTTAACATTGATGCCATTTAGTAGTCCTCACTACTACAAACTTTTCCTTCTCGTACATCCTCTTACATCTGTTCACGCTGTATAAATGAAGACTGTGCTTTTGAGAGTACCTCGTGCATGTATTTTTTATGAGATTTGAGGTTTGCCTCAGTCTACATTATTCTTAGATTGTTAAAATTGAGTTCAAAAGGAATTTTGATGGTTCACACGTACAATAAAAATTGCATGGACTGTCAGCAATACCAGGTTCATCGTGTTTTAGAGTAATAAAGAGAGCATTATCTAATAGTTTTACCGATAGTTGTAATGACAGTTCCAGCGAAGAAGAAGGCACTGCCCAGGTCCCAGTGACTGGAATTGTACAATGTGTCTCCAGTAGGCCTCACTCCTCCACTCACAGAATCAATAGCATGCTGGAAAGTAGAGAAATATAGAAATTATATGGATTAAAAGTATTTAAAATTGCTTAAAACTGAAATGTGTACTTTGACATAATTAGTGAAAGTCATGCCAAAATGCTTAATAGCAGCTGGCTCCTGTTTTGCTGCTGAGCTTTTACAAACTAATCAAAGCTATGACTGTATGCCAGCTCAGCTGATGACAACACAACAAACACGTGTCTGCTTTGATTTCACTATACACAGCCCCAATGGTGTGAACAGAGTGAGTAACAACGTCCTACTATTGTTTCTGTTACATGCGCCTCTATGTATTGCAATTGATTGCGTAACACTCGTGAGGAAACTGAGATTAGATCCAGTGCAACGATCTCCAACATCAGCCCAGAAGGTCACCACCTGAATACAAAGAAAAAAGGCTCTGAACAATAGAGGAAGGGAATGCAAGTTAAATGAGGTCTGAATCATTCTTATATCCATGGAACGAGCAGGGGCGCTACCAAGGGGGGTCCTTGGTAGCGGAATAAATAATTTATTTATTACTGCATGTGTGATTTTTGTCATTCATATTGTGTCACTTTGTAGGTCCCTCACAATTTATAGTCATCACCCCATCACCTTCGGCACTCCTGCACTGTTTTGCTTTTGGTGTGCCACCACAATATTTTTGGTGGTGCCCACATGGCCACCCCCATGAAGAAATTCTGGAGACGTCCCTGGCCTTGAGGCTGTGGATTGAGTTACACTTAATTAAATCAGCTGATCACTGTTGTAGTTCAGTCCAGACTCGTATTGTGTTGAGCTACCGTTTTCTGACTGTTGTGAACTGTAATTGGAAACTCAATAACTAAGCATTGCAATAAACATGTATAGTTGCTCTTTTTTTAATTTCCTCTTGATCATCTTTGGCTTGTGAGTTTAAAAAAAGACTTGTTTGTTTTTTTAAATGAGAGAAAGGCAGTGAAACTTAAGTAAAAGGTGGTGCAGCAGGCTCTTCTGAGCCTTTCGAATTACTAATCGTGTGCACATCAAGTTGATCTGACCACAGGATGCGTTTAAACTGTTCAGTGTCTGGCTCTCTTCGAGGAGCTGTTTCTCCACACACCCAGTTTCCATGTTTTCACAGTTCACATGGACCAAATCCACACAGACTCTCACTTGCAGCCCAAACACTGCTGTTTCCCTGTTGTTCGTTCACGTCAGCCTTTTTTTCTGCGTTCCATCGACTAGTTTGTCTAGTGCAGGGAAAACATTTACTGCTTCATTATTTTCATTGATTGCCTTCTGTGCTCCATTATGCTGCCATGAAAAGTTAATTGACTATCATTTGGTCTTTCTACATTTTCTGTTTATGGGCATGCTGTGTTCTCTACACAAGCATTTATAGTTCTTTATCTTTAGGCTCAAAACTTCTGCTGACATGAAAGCCACACAGAGCAGCCCCCATTTTATACAGTGAGATGTGAGATAACCTTTCAGAGAGTGCAGAGCGGTATAATAAAATATGTATGAACTGCCGTGATATGCATTTTACAGCAGAGAGTCTGGGACCACTAAACACATAGCTGCACATGCCTATTCAGAATCTTACATGTGATTACCTCGGCTCCATCAGTGCCCTCTCTCCCTAATGAGACGGATTTTTTGTATCTATAATTAGGCAGTTTCAATTACGTTACTTCATAGGTTTTAGCAGACACAGCTGCTTTATGGGGGCAATATCAAAGTGGTAATTATATAATAAACCCCAAATAACCTAATTCTGGAGTCAAGGGAGAGCTATAAATAGCCGCACAATGTATCTGAATACTGTATGAGGAGATCTATTTTTGGCACTTGTCTGTTTCTCAGCCATGTTCATGCTTCATGAGAGAAAAATCCTCCTTTTGCACATGTACTTTGGAGCCATGAGGATGGTGACTTGTGTTGTGTTGCAGCACATTAATTAGCAAGACAAATGGTGTTTTCGTTTCACGCCTCGTGCTCCTTTCTATTTTGATTTCACCAAAGAATCACTGCAGAGTGCTGACGAGTCCTCGTGGCTAATGTGTTTTCTGTTTCTTCAGTGCAGGATCATTACAGAGCAAACACACTCACTGCAGATTTTTATCCTCTCGGTGTGCCTTTCTACCCCACAGCGGGGGACAGCGGTGAGCCTGCCAGCATGGTGCCTTGCTCTATCCTTCACCCAACCTCATTGTGATACATTGCCAAGCACTGTCCTCTGCAGCACTTTCAACATTACTAATATCTAAAGCTTTAACCTAACCCCCTTGAAGACTTAATGCTTGTTGCAATGAAGGACACTGAGGTCCATCATATGCAATCAGGGTAAAAAGAAAGTGCACGGTCTCTTTCTAAGGTTACGTATCACGGTATAATAATAATATAAAATCATCTGGTCCTTACCAGGTCCTAAAATTATTTTAGTTCCAGCTCAGACGAACAGCATCACATGATATATTATACCATATTTTTTAACAACTAAGCCAAAATACAGAAACAGTGGATTTAAACTAATTACATATAGTGATCCAGCAGGCTACAGAACCTTTAGCACCAGTAGCTTGAGTAATCCTTTTCAGTAATCATCATCAGTCTCTCACATCATTGTGGAGGAATTTTGGGATACATATAACTACAACATTACTTCAGTTCATTGAGGTTTGCAGGTGTCCCTTTATGCACAGCTCTCTTAAGGTCCCAGGACAGCACTTCAGTCCATTGCAGCACATTGACTCTTTCCCTTTTTAGCCGTTCTGTTGTAGTTTTGTTGCTGTGCTTGTAATCAAATCTTGTTGCGTGACCCAGTTTTGTCTAGAATTGATATATGCAGGTTTGACTCACTGACTATAAGGTGCCCAGATCCTGTGGCTGCAAAACAAGTCCAAATCATTACGCCTCCACTATCATGCTTAACAGTTGGCATGAGGTGTCCTGATATGCTGAGTTTCGTTTTTGCCAAATGGGGCATTGTGCATGTCTGTTCAAAGCACATTGTTCCAAAATCGCGTTGTTGTTTGTTCAGATGCAACTTTGCAAACGTAAGCCAGTTTTAACATTTCACCTGCTAACTTCGGGCCTGTTGACTCATTGTCTAAACTTGTGAATTTGCTGTGATTTCCACTCCTCGGAAACTTTGGAGCTATCTTGAAAGCTTTCCACGTATGAATAATCTTTCTCACTGTGGAATGATGGATCTCAGATTGTTTGGAAATGCTCTTGATGGGCAGTAACAATTGGTTCTCTAAGATCATTGCTGATGTCTTTAATCCTGAATGCACACACATCAGAATGCTCCACATAAGCAAACTACCAAAACCTTTGCTTTTATAGATGTGCTCACACTTTTTCCTGATTAATTAATTTAAATGCACTTTTTTAGATTATGTTAAATGAATAATAGCATTGTGCAAAATATCATGTGATTTTCATTATGTCTTCACAGAATGGTTGTATATGGCTGGTTTTTATGATTGACTTTTCATGTGGAACAGGTGATCAGATTCAAATGAAAATAGCAATATAATAGTGAAAAAAAATAAAAGTTTATTATTCATGCTTAAAAGCCCAGTGTTAAGCTGTGGAGGTATTTTCAAGGAAAACCTGAAATGGAAATGAGTAGAAATGAATCTCTTTTGCCTTTCTTTTTCAGTGCAGCCATCTAAAGAGCTTAGCCTTCACTAGTTAGTGGAGCATTTTGATTTCGCATTTGATCAAGTATGTAGAATTTGCTTGACGTTTTCCGGAAAAGCACAATTTGTGCTACATAAGATTATGACAGAAATGGCAGCACAACCTGACGTAGATTCTACTGCAGGTAGCTCAGTGAATACAAAAGTTTATTTTAAATAAGTGACTCATCAATAAATGAGACCTGACTGGTGTCAGTAACAGCACGGCTTCACATCGTGCCATAGTGTGAGTCATCAAAACAGCAACAGGAAAGCCAATTAGGTCTGCTGTCTTCGTGGGCGCACAGTGGGTGCGTGGACGACACAAATATTGAAGAAGACACGAGGAGGTCAACAGACGTGCATGGGCACACACTCACACACATTAAATCAACACACGCTGTGCCCTAACAAGAGCTTGCGATGTGATATACTGTCTGCTTCCATCTCAGGCATGCACATGCTTCCCAAGGTTGCCATTTTTCTGTCAACTCCTCCACCAAACAGTTTGACAACAGTGAGTCACCGCTGCTGTGTCCCCGCATAAAGGCTTCGGCTGAGTGACAGGCTTGACATAGCACACACAGGCCGATAATGGAAACTGTTAGAGGACTGGGCATACTTTTTGATGGAGTACTTGTGAAGCAGCATGTCCTCCAGGCTTTTGCTTGAGACACCAGGGGAAAAAAGTGTTATTTGTTCATATGAACTTCACACATGGCTTACACTTAGTATTGGAATCCCATAACAACTCAGCAGATCAACATTATATCTACTGATTTACAGAAATTTACATATTATGTTTTGATTATGTTAGTACATCACTTATGAAGCTACGATTGAAAGGAGAGGAGTAGCAGTAAAAAGCTCATCATTATACACATAAGTGCACAAACCGAGCATGACTAATTTGCCACTATTCTTAATTAACTATATCACATCAATGACTTGACATGCCATTAAACATTTTCTCATCTATCTGAATTAGATGATTTGTCTAGAAGAATCTCATGTCTATGATTGCAGCACTTTTACGTTGAGCAGCAGGAGGTGTGTGTGCCTGCTGGTCTGTGTAATGAATAATTGATTCCCTCCGGACCCCAGGCACTCCATGCTAAAGGTTCTAATTTCCACACACTCCTCCATAAGACATACTGTTATTGATTTTTGAAAGCTCTTGATAGGGCTTTTGTGGCTCAAAGGTTGAGCACTGCTAGAGAAATAAAAGAAGAAGCTAGAAGCAGAAGAAGAAAAGAACAGAGGTGGGTGTGGAGAAGGAGAGAGGCAGTCCGATATTCACTAGAGTAGTGTTGAAGATATTAACGTCAAATGGAGCCATCCTAGTGGAAAGTGGAACACACCATTAGCATTGCCATTTGGTTGTTTCCAAGTCTTTACTATTTTCAAGCTACATTCGAAAAACAGGAAAGCACAAGATTTCTAAAAGGCTGTTTTTTTTTCTCTCCATTGCCAAAAAAAAACTATTTTCAGTCTCTTTTGATTCCTGTTAATTGTGTGCTTGTGTTTGTATTTCAGCTTTGTGTTACTCAGTTCTTTTGATTGTCCAGAATGTTTCTTTCTTTTATTTCTAGATGTTCTCTGCAAACTGATTGCTTTTTCCCATCACTCCCTCACAAATCAAACTTCCCACTCACCCACTCGTACATCTCAAATCTTTTTCCACTCCCCTTTGCAGTTGTAAGTGTCAGCTGGGTGTAGTGACCTTAAATCTTGATCCATAATTTTGGATGTGGTGCTAGAGAGCAATGTGAACTGCTGCCATAGTGTGTTATAAAGCGGCTGACACCATAAAAATGCATTGTAAAATGCGCCGTTAAGTTTCAATGAGATGGGAATGGTTCTGTTTTGTGGGTCTGCTTGATAGTGCGCACAATTATAAAAAAGTTTCACAAGCTGGCTTGGTAAAATGTGGAACACTCTAAAGACAGCATCAGACCATATGCCGCAGGTTTAAGAGTTATCAGGCGAGTTTTTTGGGCGAACAGCTGTGCCCAGTAAAACACCGGCACCCTGCTTCTATGCAGCAGATGCTGTATTGAGGGGGAAAGCAGATAGTGACGGGATTTTGGGGAGACTGTTTAGAATATTGAGTTTCTGAAATCTCTCTTGGGTCTTTAAAGATTTTAACAATATTTGTATGTCATAATAGAGCAACATCACACAGTATTAAAAAGAAAACATTGAAAGAAAACTTGGTTCCTGACATTTCTCACAGTAAATATAACAGCGCTGTCACAGCCATGAGCTTGTTTCCTTATTTAAAACATGTGGGCGTTGTTAAAGCTGCACTCTGGAATTTCATATCGCACTAACACATCTATTATTGAAGGTTTTTTAGCTATGCAAATACAAGTTAGTTATTTGTCAAATAAAATGGGAGAAAATTGGCCATATTGCTATCATTACTCTGTCTTTACACAGCAAGAAAACTAGAGAGAGCTGCAATTAAATAAAAAAAATGTTTGTTGTGAATATAGCATAAAGGTCATTGTGAAGACATTTTTTGCCCTCTTCTCAATGATCATGCTGTCTTTTGTTATGTAATATCAGGCTGCATGTACTGGTGTATGTGTTCTAAAAGATCCGTGTTTATTAGAAGACTAAATGCATTTAGGTTTCTACGGGAGGGTTGATTGTTATCAGTTATCAGCTGTTACTCAGGAAACCGTCATTCAATGGGAAGGGCAGAACAAATGTCTTGGTCAGGCTGTAGCAAGCAGCAGTCATATAATTTGATTAAAAGTGCCTCAAAAAGCCCTGAGAGCACAAACAATTTTTAAATTGTATAAAATTCAGTGGCTCCAAATCCCTTACTTTAGTGCAAAAATGAAGGAGTTCACCCACTGTAGTTTTTATTAGCAGGTCAAAACTATTTTTGTGCCAAGCTGTAAATGTGTTCTTTAACGCTGTAAAGTTGGGCATTTTGGAGTTCTGGAGTCTGTGAGGATTGACTTTTGGAGCCAAGTTTAAGAGGCCATTAGAGTAACTGCAGTTTTTGGCACTTCCACATTCCCTTTATTTAACAGAAAGGAGCACTGTGCAGTCTTATCGTAGCTACTTCTTAATCACAAAATAGGCCCACTGTAAAGGATACCATGCTTTGCCATCCTTTTAAACTCTGCTCCCATCCAGGGGACCCTGCCTCCTGCTCTACGACAACTGGGAATAGCGCCAGCTCCCCATCCTTTTACCTCTACCTAATTGCTCGGTACTATAATAAAGTGCACAGAGGCTGCCAAAATGCCTGGAAGAAGGAAACAAACACCAGACAATCATGTCCACTTTCAAGCGCTTACCTTGATGATGGCGTCCAGCTCATTGGGAGTAACACATGGGTGCCTTTCGAGGAAAGAGGCCTTCTCCAGGGTGATGCTAGTTTTCAGGTTGCTCTCAAATGGCTGCTCCAGAGCCCTGAAGGCAAGACCTCCACAAACCAGGTAGAGAACAACCACAATGAACACCGCCAGCACCGTCTTCCACTTCATCACTGAGTGGAGCCCCGTTGTCGAGCCATCAGAGTTTGTGTCCATGCTAGCCACAACACTGGCAGAGCGAGATGAGATGGACAGACGTGGCAGTGGACAGTGACCACTGGCTTTCGGGTCGCAGCCCATTGGGTTTTGCATGGTGGCAACACTTGCCTGGACCAGGGTTGACTTCACCATGCCAGGCTGGACCTTTTTGGGAGGGACCAAGTTGGTCTGGACTGCCACTAGCAAAGAAAGTAGGAGGGAAGAAAGGGCTGTTGTAACACTTTTTTTTTTTTAATATAGATTACAAAGATGGAAACACCAGTGGTTTACTGCACGTTTGTCTCTCTGATGGTCATTTATGATGTCTTATAATAATTGGCTAAAGGCTCTTTTTGTAAGAACCTTTTACCTAAATCAACAGGCATTTGGACATTTCATTTGTTGATTTGTCCGCAGATTCTTTTTCTTATTTTCACCTTTTCTCTCACCTTCTGCCTTTCTTTTGGTTTATATTTCGAATTTTGTGTTGTGGAGACATTAACATAATTTCATTACAACTGTTTAAAACCTATGTGTCCTTTATGAAGCTTTGAAAACATTTTATACCTCCTACACTGGGCTAATAAAAGGCTTTTTGCAAAGTCAAACACTATTAGAAAAAAATCTAGTTATCCAGCCTACAGCTCCGCCAAACATAACAAGACTCCTTTGTCATCTCAGAAGCTTGTTATCCTGAGAATTTCTTCATATAAAATGTATTTCAGATTTCACTTGTGAAAAGGGGTCCACAATCTCTTGGCCTCACATCTGCCTTACAGATCATAATTTGTACTCTCATTTTAACATCTGATTTCAACCCTGCTCTGTTACAACACATGGATGGATGGATGGATGGATGGATGGATGGATGGATGGATGGATGGATGGATGGATGGATGGACACAGATATATAAAAAGCACACCAATGAAAACCTTACAGTAATGTTGGCAGAGGTGAAGGTGAAAATTGAGTTACTCTCTTTGAATGGAAGCAGGATCCAATTTTTCTAATAGACTGTAAGTGAGGGATAAGTGCCACTTTCAGTTATTGTCTTCCAAAGAGGTTTCATAACAAATGCATGTGTACTGTAGCAGGTCAACCATCAAACATCACCTATGGAGATAGCCAAATTTCGACTTCCTTAATGTATATAAAGCACTGCGTGAGCTTTTTCAGAGCTCTAGACTTCACCCCTGCCCTGACGCCCCCACAACTCCAAAAAGGGAAAGCATGGAGTGCCTCTGAGCCATGGGTGGAGCTTGTTGTCTGTGATGTAACCTTTGAAGGTAGGGATGAGAAATGTATTTGTTTTTTAAATGGGGTGATATTACTTTTGGGATATGCTAAGTACAATGCACACATGCTTAATCAAGTATTTATGACTTTAGAGGGGGGGACATGTATTTCTTTAATATTTCCTGGAGACTTATTCCATCTTGCCTAAACCTCAACTTAACACATAAGGGACTTGCTTTCTGTTCCCGTAGTGTGAGTGTTTAAACAGATTCAGGTCCCCACAGCATGATCATGCACTCGCGCGCACACACACACACACACATCGACCCATGAGTCAAAGAATGTCCAGGAAGTGGCTTGTTCCCTGATCTAAGAGCTATTCATCTTCCGAGTCAATTCTTATATAAAAGACTGAATCAATAACACCAATGTGATGTCAGCTTAAGGTGGAGAAAAACACTTTCGGTTTATAGTATCTGTCTTTAAAGGTGCTGACTGCAATAGAGCACAAATCTATTAGAAAAAAAAAGACTCAGCTGGAAGACTCAGTATAGTATGCTATATTTGGTGCAATGTTTTTTTAGAGATGAAGTGGAACAGTTACTGGTTAGTGAATTTCAAACTAGGCCAAGTCCATGACTAATCTAACTAAGATTTTAATTTTCTTTTTATCACAGTGTTTGACTGCATGAAATTAAATAAATTAACTATGACTGAATGTCATATATTTAGTTTATTTGGTTCATTTCAAAGTCAACTTCATGCACTTCTGAGAAAAAGCAGAGAATATGAAACTATAATCTATATTTTACAGCTAGAGTTGAAACCAGAAGTGCAGTGAGCACTATAAGGTTTGCATTTCACCTTTCTGAGGCTATGATCCATTAATGCAAAATCCTTTTTGAACCATGCAACAGCTTCGAATTGATTTTTGCAAATTAAATAAGGCTTGAGTGGAAAGTGGTGTTTTTTCTTTTTTTATCTGATCTCAACCTCTCAGCCCTCCCTTTGGATCCAAGTATGTCTGGCCAAAGCAGAGGAAATGTTCTCATGTAGTGATGCCCCTCATGTGGACCACAAAGATGGACATACAGAGCATGTGGATACAGATAAGGAGTTTGATGACAGTATCTATCATATTTACATCTGATGTACAGTTGAGTGTACAAAAAGAAGTCTAGTGGTATTAAACATAAAGGCTCAGGCAAGCTTTAGGCCCTGTGGCACTGGGCAGGTTGTAGGCGTTTAATTCGGCAGCTGAGCCTCAAATTTCAAACATTAAATCAAACCCAGTGCACACCAAACACTTCCGGCAGTGACTGATTTCAAAATAAAACCTCTGTTAAGGGAGGCGCAAGCATCCTCAACACGATACCCATGCATAGTGTATTAAAGCAGAATTCCTTTCCAGCAGTGACTGGAGACTTAGCACGACTCTTATATGCTTTTGAAAGGGCAAGGGGTACATGAGCCATGATATTATTTAAAACAACAACAACAACAACAACATTTCTCTTCAAATAAAAATCGCATGTCTGAAATTCTTATAAATTCTATTCCTAAGTATAATGATGTCTTTTAGATGGCGACATTATTTTTAAGTAGACACATTTTACAGCCTAGTTCTCTTTTGAAATCTCTTCCGCTTTCACACTGGTTATTTCTGCCAGCCTGTCACTACCAGAGCTCCGCATCCAGCAGCGTTGCTTTATACGTCTGAGCGGACAGATAGTGCAAACTAGAAAAGCCGCGTTGTCGTATATGAATGGTAATTTTGCATCACAAAAGCAAATAAAGGGACCGCTCAATTAAATGAAAAGAAGCATAAATATTAATTTCTGTATACTGAATCTGTGAATAATGCAGCCTGATGAGATTGTGTATCAAGTATTTCCATTCAGATGTTTAGGCTACTGACATTAAGAGTACTATTTAATTGCATATCTGAAGTTATTCCACAGTAAAACAGCAATATTCACCAACCTTGTTCTGGATCCCAGTTAACTTGTTTTCTCGGGTTTTCTATTGGAAATTTCATCTCTAGGTTTGGCTCAGTGAAAACGCAGGTAAATTCAGTCAGCGTGATCGCAGAAATACAGGAAAAAATGGACAAATCACAAGAAATTCATGTTGGACACATCATCTTTTCATCGAAGTGGGAGTGGATTGCACAAAGGAATAAAGGCATCGCAAAACCGCATTGTCTGTCTTCCTTTCTTGCACCCCCTCCTTTTTTTTCCCTTCTCCACCTCGCCTGGACGCGTGGTGTTCGCCTGACAGACTGACAGAGATACGTGTGGCACCTTGCACTGAGCAGTGGCTCCACTCCGCGGTCCAAACCACTTCCAAACTCACACTAGAGCACGCACGCAAATGGTCCGGTCCAGAAACACAGCCGGAGTGTGGCCCAACCTAGCAACTTTACGCACGCGTTACACCGGCAGCGAGAACAACGAGGGAGGATGCTGTCCCCTCCCTTTAATTCAAATAAGCGCTCTCCTCCACCTGCCTTCATTGTTAATGTGCATCGAGCTTTGCATCAGAGGCATTTTCTCTCATTGTGGAATCCGATTTTCAATACTCACTCTTATATTTTCCCCCAAAACCAGATGATCCTATTATCGTTACCGTAACCAGCGTCTGACCACATGGCGCAAAGATGATCACCAAATCAGAGGCAGACTTAACCCATTACATCATTCACGCATGTGAGGAAAACTGTATTATTTATGAGCTTCAATGGTACAGGGAGGTCACCTCTTCCGGCAGCCCCCCCAATCATATACTATAGATCTGATGATTTGGCGGGATGACAGTTTAGACAGGGGGGAAATGAACTGTCTCGTTATCTATTTGTTATGTAAATGCGCCCTGCAACACACACATGTACAAGATCAGAAATGAATCACTTAATAAAAGAAGATGCGGTCTTATGGGAAAATCGAAATAGATCATCGTGTGGATACACTGCAAATAAACAAATATACATTATTGTAAACTGACGTCTTTACGATCCTAAATGATCAAAGTCAGCTCTTTGAGCATCAAAAATATTGATCACTTTACAATAAAGTTATTGTCCAATGTAGTCATTGACCAGTTCTCCTTTGAACTTATGCCCAATTCAAGTGCCAGTAAAATGTGTTGCCTGTCACACTATATTCTTTTGTTGGTAAATGACGCAAGGGGTTAAAAGTTCAATCAAACAATGCAAGGAAAATAAGAGAATTAACAATATGATGCTGACAGAATGTTCTCGTGGCCAACACGTACTCAGATGAATCATAACTTATATTTGTGGTACTGTAGTTTCCTACATTTTACTGTAAAACTAGGTCACTGAGGATTTGGCTTTTTATGATAACAGCACACCATGGTCAGAGTTTGTTGCAGTAATGAAGAAGAACGGCTACCATTAATGATATGCTTATTGATGATTTTGGTGCAACTGGAAAGGATCTAGTGACCCACATGGTGAATAAATTATAATGTTTGCTCTTGAACCAGCCACATGAACAACCAGAAAGCTGTTTTAGTCCATTTGAGGCAGTATTCTGTCTGCAAAGCCACAAAACACATTAACCTCACCCACCAAAGTAGAAAAAAAAAGTTATGTAAACACATAATGCATTTTGAAATAAAAAGAAAGAAAACCTATGGCTGAAATCTGTCTAGCTCCTGCTCCTGCTCTTCTTACTGTCACACTGTTAAGACTACTACTTAAATGTTATTTTAATACCTAAGCCTTTTCAGCCAGACATTTAACAAAATGTTATTTATTAGAGAGAAATACTTCAAACCGGGGGATCTGTTTGAAGATGGGCTTTCAAGGATGATTTCTCACTTGATGACCTTTGAGAGGGTCAAGTGGTCCTGAATTTACGGCTGTATATGTTTTCCTGTTTTGTTTTGATTTTTACACTAGCCCCACTTGCTCCCCCTGTTAGTCTGCAACTCCACACCCAGAAATCCAAGTACTGAAACACAAATATTCACAGGAGATCTTTGTCAGGTTGTCTATTATTATGTTGTGCATGTCATATTTTTATCATATGTACTGTACTCTTCAGACTGTTGAGATAACTATTTGACATATTTCATTTAATCAAGTTTGGATTTAAGGGCGTTTTTCTTAGGTTGTCATTTCGATTCAATTTTCTCATTCATGTTGTGTGTGTGCGTGCTCCTGTTGTGCATCAACGTGATGACGACAGCAATCATAGCAACCAGCATGGCGACGGGGAAGCGTTACTTCGCTCTTCATTTGCTAAACCTTTGATAGGTTATTACTTGTACGATATTTGATTGTATCACTACGTCAGCATGTTTACGGTTAAGTACAGTGAATTTTCTGGATGGATCCGAGCTCTGCCATCTCTCCCTCAGAATATTTCCGAGGTTGGGATATGCTGAGTGTAGTATTATGGACTCAAGAATAGGTATGCTAATGCTATTAGCATTGGTTAGCCATGTAGCTGGATAATGAGTCGGGAGACGTTAGCACATTTAGCTTTTTTGCTTAAGCAGCTACCTAAAGATAAGCTCATGTCCACCGTATTTACTGTTATTAATATGGCTTCAAGTCGGTCAGCACAGTGGTTACTAGTCCCTTGTCTGTACCGAAAACAGCTTGTAAAACGATGCTTCAGTAAAGCCAGCTTACGTTTAGTGACATTTTAACCTGTTAAATCTTTATTCGTTTCTTCTTGTTTCTGGTTTGAAGAGATCCACGATATCAGCTTAGTACTGCCCTCTATAAACTTAAACCAGTATGTACTCTTATTGTTTGCTGGAGCTTCGTCTTATTTATTTTCAGTGTTATTCAAACATTTACTTCAAATTATGTTACCACTTTTTGAGTATTTACTATTTTTATTTGTAAACAGTCAGTGTTATGAACATTAAAACCTATAGCACAGAATTTACCCCCGAAAGTCTTGGAACCCCTTAACAGTATATTTCCAGGTCCAAAAGAAAATACTCTGTACTGTAATGTGTTATTAGTTAAATGATCAACAAACAAAAAAATACTAGGAAACGCATAGATTCCTGTTAACTAAATTAGCATTGCCTTACTGTGTGTCTTGCTGTGGTAAACTTGCTGTTTTAGTTATCTAAAAATTATTTAGTCTTGAGAAGCGCTGTGCACCACATACTTATAAAATGAAATGATAAATGAAAAGTTTTTAATCATAAAAAACCTGTAACTGATAAAGTGTGAGTCATAACACTTTTTTACATTTTAGGAAGTGTGTCATCTGGACTGGGGTACAGCCCTGGTGTGAGAGGAAAGGCTTTGAAAAGTAGTCGTAAGTATTATTACATGCTCATGAGTACTGGTCATCTGTAAGAAGAGCTTAATTTAATAGTTTATCATATATTGTTTTGTGTTTTTAGCTTTCTGTCCACTCTCCTCTAGCAAGTTGACACAATCCATCATTAAAGACCACATGGTGTCTCATTACAAAAAGGTTTACTCAGCTAAAGGTGAGCTGCATGGCAGGTATATTTTACAGTTGTGGTCATGGTAATTTGGGGCTGTTAATGATTTATTTGAACTGTTCTTTTTTCAGGGTGCATTGATTTTACAGCATACATCTTTAATTACTTTTTTAAAAACCCATTAAAACCCATCGAGGATGGATTTGTTCTGGATTGTCTCAAAAAAGTCAAAAGTTTGCATACACTCAGATACATACACTAACTTAAATTTCTTAATAACTCGTGCTTAAGGTTATTTTAATTTGACAAGGTCAAAGCCTATTAACATCTCATTGGCGATCATGATTGACAACTGGTAGTTTTTCTTTGGAGCATAAGAAGGTTGGTTTGACAGGACTCATTAGACTGATATTCAGAACAGGAAAGTCCTAAGAACCCACTGAAGATCTAAGAAGAACAATAGGAGTTTACTCTAGATTTACACAAGTTGGAGCCATTTCTAAACAACTGCAGATTCCAAGATCATCAGTTCAAACAGTTATAAGGAAGGTTTTATGGTTAGATCAGACAAAGATTAAGCTATTTGGCCACAATGACAAGACTTAGGTTTGGAAGATTAAAGGTGAGGCTTTCAAACTTAAGAACACTGTACCATTTGTCAAACATGATGGCTGTAGCATTGTGCTTTTGAGCTGATTTGCTGCCAGTGGTATTGGTATACTGCACAAAGAGGATGGAATAATAAAGAAGGAAGACTACCTCAAAATTCTTCAACTTCACCTCAAATCAACAACCTGATGATTGAAACTTGGACACTATTGGGTATTCAAATGGGACAATGATCTAAAACACACATCAAAACTGATTTTGGAATGGATAAAGCAAAGCAAAGCCCCAGTCTCATATTAAATGTGTGAACTTTGTATAAAAACTGGTTCTGTACCAGGAAACCAACATGTGAATGACCTCAACCGATTCTGCCAGGAAGAGTCAAATATCCACCTAGAATTGTACCCAAAGCTTTTTTGTGTTTACCCAAAGGATCTGGTCCAGGTGCAACATGCTAAGGGATATTTAACCAAATACTGATGTAGATTTATGTATATATTTGAGCCTGTCTGTATACTTCAGACCAAAACTAAGTATTGTGTTTAATTCTGTTGTGTAATAATACTAATAGTTTCTATCTTATCCACCAGCTGCCATTGATACCTCAGTACCCAAAAGCTTGCTGTGTAGTGTGAAGTGTAAGTATACATATATATGGTGGCCATACTCTGTTCTTATGACTCATACAGCAGGAGATGTTGGGACAAAATAAATTTAGATTGTGTCATAAGTTTAGCTAATAATTAGACAAATAACGCCATAATTAGCAGTGCGTATAATAAATAAATAATAGGCAAATAAAGTAAAGAACATGCTTTGCTGCTGGTGATAGTTCTGCAGTGCAGAGAATTGTATCTGTTGTGCTACTTCAGTTGTTTTAATACCTCTTTACAGACAATGACCAGATCAAGCGGGATAGGTTGAGGAAAAATGGCCGTCCTCAGTCAGCACCTGCACAGAGGAATAGCAGAACTTCATACTCTTCATCACAGGTAAGAAAATCTGGCGTTGTCATTAATCACTGCTTCATGTGATGCTAACAATTTTTTACTAGCAGATTTCAAGCAAACACAAAGCCAACTTTATTTGCTTGGAATCTTTTTCAGTCTACACAACAACAGATTCACCCCATGTGTGTTTTTTAGAGCAGATTATCTGTGCAGTATGATGACAGCACCTACCTTTGCTCGAGGAGCTCCTTGGTCTCCAGCCCTGGGTTCAACACCACCTTTAAAGTCAATGAGATGGTTTATCCATCGCTCAATGTCAGCTCTCATCACACTCGCCCAGCATCAGAATTGAAGCATCGGAGCCCGGAGGCAACTTTTCGAAGAAAGTCATCAGCTTGTTCATTGGCAGCTTCTGGAGATCAGAGTTCCTACAAAACCTTCCAGGACCCTGTCCGGAAGACATACAGCGGAGACTTGCTACTGAAACATTCACAGCACTTTACACAAGACAAACCTTTCACTCCTAAGACCTTAAAATCAGATAAGAGCTCATACTTGTCAAAATATCGCTACTACAGAGCACCACAGAGAAAACCTACTCAGGACTGCAGCAACTCAACATCATTTCAGCAGGAGATGTGTGATGGAAGGTAACGGCTGAATGTCTTGCTGAGACTGCAGATCTAAAGACGTGTCTTGGGAGATTTTTTTTCAGCATGTGCCGCTTGTGTCTTCACGTGTCTTTTGGTTGTTTTCATACAGCGTAAAGAACAAGGACTGCATGCTGGATGTTGATGGGCCATCTCAGGTAATTTGGAGAATTTGATTTGATTAATAATGCATACATATCACAATTTATCAGTAATACTTTGATCACAAGAACGCTTTGACAGAATCGAATTACACTTCCCATTTTCCAGCCTTCTTTTCTTTTTTCTGTTTTTTTTCTACAGGGATTTATTACAGAGCATGAGTCGTTTGAGGATGAGCTTAATGGCACATATTCATCATCAAGACAAAAGAGTCGAGCAGCCAAGGGCAGAGAGTGCGGTTTTTTCGACTCCTTGTCCAGGTGAGCTCATGCAGTAGAAAAGGACATTGCATTTTATTATTTATTTAATTACTTTGTTCAGTAAGATTCTTAAAGTGTTTCATCTTCTAGGGTCTCACCAGAAAATAGGAAATCTCCCAATATGATGAGAGTATCCACAGAGTAAGTTCACCGACCTTCTGATTAGTAGACATAGACAAATTTTAACAATCTAAAGTAATACATTATCTAATAAATGAATTATTGTGTTTTGTCGAGGAATAGAGAAGAAGAATTAATGTACCTTGAATTCATTTCTGCTGTGACAGAAGATATCTTGTCCAGGGGACACATTTCTGACAGGTTGAAACATTTTAATTCTTTTACATTTTCTGTGCCATAGTTGGATGACAGATGTACAGACGTTTGCACAGCTTCTTAATAAATTTGTATGTGACTGATAAAGGAGTTATTAATTAAATAGTAGCTATGAGTCTTATTTTGAGTAATTACTCACATGTAAGTGTCTGTGTCCTCTGCAAGGGTCCTAGACCGTGTGTTAAATCGGCACATCGACATGAATCGTCATCAACTAGATGAGGTCAGCATGTAATTTCATGCATAATACAAAACATTTTAGGCAAGTCATGTTCATGGCTTTTTAAGCTGTTCTTATAAGCCCGCTTTGCTTGTTTTTAGGGTAAAATGCGCCACCTGCTGGAAGTGTTGTGTAAAGACTTTGAAGAACCAACCAACATATCCAGCTCCACTGCAGAGCTTGAAAAAAAGAATTATCTGCTTGATAGCCTCCTACCGTGTCTGGAATCAGCGGGAAAACATGTAAAGACCAAAGAAGACAATGACTTGTTTCCTTATGTGTCCCCAATTAAACACTGTGATTTCCCAGCTTATACTGATCCCTTATTGGCTTCTACGCCCTTACACTCTCCTACAAGAACTCCTTCTCAAACTGAAATAACTGAAAAAGATAAGAAGGGTGACAGTGAGGGAAAGTTTATTGACTTTTCTTTGGTCAGTGAGCATGTCACTGATAATACAACAGCCAGTGAAGAGGATTTCCATATAGTAGGCACAACTGTTACAACCAGTGTCCACAGTGAAACCCAGGAGAATTCTGCTATAGCCAGTGATCAAGAGCAAGCTGATGGACAGTCTAATGAGCTTGAGGATCTAGGGAAAAGTTTGTCAGAGTCGTTGCATGTGTCCAGCAACACACACTGTGAAAGTGCTGCCAGTGAGCAACGTTCAAATGCAGGGGATTCTGGCAGCGATGATGAATTTTAAGTTTTTATTGTACTGTGGGATTTTATGTCCGTCTACATTTTTACCGAGTGAAGTGTGTTCCAGAGAATGAAGTGATATTTCACATTTTTAAAAGGTGTCATATAAAAAGAAATAACACTGGTTATTTACGAGCCTCACTAAAGAGTGTTGTACTTCTGCTTTGTTTTCGATGAATTTTTAACAACAAAAGCACAATGAAAATGTCACAAAAATAAGTCTGAGCTTTAAAGTTCTCATTTAGGATGGGGATAAGCTTGATCACTGTAGTGGCTGAGCTGCAGTTTACCTCTGCAATTAGTTTCAGTATACTGCCCTGTCAGTTTTAAGTATGATGTAGCACAAGTTAACATTTTCAGATAAGGTGTGAAGTGTGTTCAACCTGAAAAGTCCACTGTTACCAGAAAGTGTCTTTACAACTGCAATAAAATTTGCTTTTCATTCACTGCTTGCTTCTGATTATTGAGACTATCATTGCGGTTCTTAACTTGGGAAATATTGCAACTGGGAAACTATAAAAAATAATTTATTATATGTATATAATAGATTTTATGTACACTTCACAGGTAATCTGCAATATTCTGCTGTTCAGTTATACATGTACATCCTCATACACATTCATTTTAATAACTCATTTTCAATGCTAATGTGCAACATCCTCAAGTAAATTCTTATTTTTTTAATCTTTTAAATACGTACCAATGTTTACGGTGCTTAATAAATGTACACACACAAACACACACACACACATTCTGTCAGTAAAGGTTTTATATTTATCTGTTATTTAATTTTCGTGCACTGTGTCAGGGATTTCGTTATGCTTGAATCTTGAAACTATTTATTTTGCAATATCGTGTGTTTGTTATTAGCTATGGGTCGATGTAAAAAGTAAACAGACAGGTCCTCGCCAGCAGTGCCTGACAGCTGTCCCATTTCTGGCATTTTCACTGCTCGGCATTCCAGCTGTCTGATGTCATCGCTCTGAAAACCTGCATGTATCCTTCCGCTCCAGAGGAACTACAATAGATTTTAAACAGTTTGCTTATGAAAATACACCTAACCAGCTAGCTTGTATAAATGTTTAGTTGAGTTGGTGTTGATTTCAGTGTAGTCCAGGAATGTATTGAAGGCTGATCAAACAAACGCCAAAGCAATAGCGCCGCGGATGAAGACCGAAACACTTGTTGCTCTTCTAATCCCAGGAAGCGAAACACGCTTGGAACTTGGAGTGAACACTTGGACCAAAAGGCATGTGGGCTCTGTTAGTTTGGATCCAGAACAAACTACAGACAAACAAACTGCCTGTTAATCTAATAGTTATCCAGTAAGCAGCATCCATTGACTTTGGTGGTGGAATCCCTAAGGACTGACCAATAGTTGGACTACCAAGTTGCATCTGGTGGCTAACGGTAACGTTGATGTTTTTTTCCCCAAAAAAATATTTACCGGGGGCGACGTCAGCTTCCCAAGGGTGTCGTCTATTTGCTGGAAGTTAGCGGGCTAGCGTAAACGCTAATTCCAAGCCAGTTGTAGTGAATGTAATGGATTTTCTTAAAGTGACTTAAAAGCAGCTAGATAATACCAAATATGTAGACCAAGCGTTTTAATTGTAGCAGTAAAGAAAGTCCAATTGTAACTATCAATAATTTGAAATATAATGGATGCATGGTTTATGATTTTGAAGTGCCTGCTTCTTATAGAATCGGTCGCACTTGTTGGTGTTTGGATCAGACTATTCGCCGGAAAGTGATTACTGTAGCCATAGGCGTAGTAAAAATGACCATTGTAGTTAGCAGTAAGTGCACAGGTCAGAGGGGACATCCGTAGGATTTGCCCTTTCTGCTGTGCCCAGATTGTTAAACAACTCAAGAGGTGGAGGAATTGTAACGTTACTGAGACCCAATTGCTGTCAAAATGAAGCATTAAGGGGATTACTTTACGGTAATCCCCGTGTTAGTCTAGTCTTTAAGGGTAAGTATCGTAACATATTCTTTAGTGATGAGTAAGGCCACGCTGTTAAAGCTAGATTTGGTTGTGGGTTTTGGATGCTCATCTGATTTGATTTTTCCGTCTGACTTTTCAGACCTGTGTGCTGATGATGACCCCCCTGACTTGTTACATTATCACAACTTTGTGGACATCAAGGAGAATACTTCCTCTGGCCTGAGTGGAGACCCCCTCTCCACTGTTTAAGACGCCTGAAACATGCCCTTGCCGTTTGGCTTAAAACTCAAAAGGACTCGAAGGTATACTGTTTCAAGCAAGAGCTGTCTTGTCACACGGATTCAGCTTCTCAATGGAGAGTTTGTTGAGTTTACACTCTCAGTGGAGAGCACTGGACAGGAATGTTTGGAGGCAGTAGCCCAGAGACTCGAGTTAAGAGAGGTATGTAGGTGTTTTTCACGCAATACAAGTGCTGATTGTTCTCTCTTATATGGACTCTTTAAGACCTGCCATCTCAGCAACAAAGTATTTTTGTGACCATTGTCTTCTGGTCACATTCTTACTTGAAACTAGTAAGCAGAACAACAGAAACTATGATAACCAGTTTGTCATTGTCTACTCATATAATGTCATTTCCCATAATATTTCCCAAGATGTAATGACTCAATCATTTCCCAGTTAAATGTTTTACATACACATATATGTAACTCACGTTGAGAAACATGAAAGATAATGTACTGAGGTTCATGTCCAAGTCTGGCATTTATTTAGCATGTTTGGTTAGTGATGCTAATGCAAGGCCTCCACCTTCATTTACTTTATGTCACATTGTTTGCTTTTTTAGTGTTAGTAGAGTTACTAGGTGAATCATGTGGTGAACTAGTCAGTCTGTTAAACTACAAAAAGCACAATTCACTGTTGCATTTCAACCATGGATTTATCTGGGTTAGTAGGTCCTTTATTTTGAATATAACTTTTTAGTATTGCTATAAAAACAAATTTCTGTAATGTTTACACAGTGCTTACTCATAGACAGCAGCTATTGTCCAGTGTAAAATGCCAGTAAACACATTTCTAGTTGTTTTTTCCAGCTGCTCTCTTACCAGTGTTCATTGTGGGATATTCGGATAGAGAGGGCAGCACAAACTAGAGAAGTCTTCGATTTTAGATTTATTTTAGATGATACATAACAGCTACATAAAAAGAACCAGACAATTCGTATTAATGTTCCTATTTTTTTGAGAAAATTTCATTTCACTGATGACGTTAAATTAAAACAGAAGAACCTCGTGTCTCTAGTCTTATTTCTATATAGATAAGTTTTTAAGCTCCTCTGTCTGTTTTCATATTGGTAATTATATAATTTAGCCTTTCTAGTTAATCTAAGTTTCCTAAGTGGGATGATATAAGCGTTTCATTATTTTGTAAATTTATCTTGCTGTGCTTATAACAAAAATGGCAATCTTTCCATTGAGTAGTTTTCATAAATGATTTTTAGCCAGTCTTCAAATTGTACTCACGTTTTACTGGATTTATTTCCCCGTCATAAAGTAGTACTGCCATTAAGCATTTGCCTTCATTCGTTGTTCTATGCTGTGACCCACATATACACTGTGAAAGTGTCAAATGGAAATGTGTTCTTAAATACAGTTTCTAAACATTTGTGGATATCATGCCAACATTGCCAGAATTTCAGACATTGCAACTTTGGATTTTAAGGTCTGTGTTATATTTACAAACAGGAGAAGACGAGCAGATTTACATTGGCACTGAGCTCTTAAGCGGTAACCTATTGGTCTAGTCTTTAATATGTAATATAAGTCTAAATGTGCCTGCCTGGATTACAGTTTACCCTAGAATGGTTAATGTTTAATCTGTCCTCTTGCATTTTTTTTTTGCTTGTTAGATAACATACTTTAGCCTGTGGTACTTAAACAAGCAGAACCAGCAGAGATGGATTGACTTGGAGAAGCCACTGAAGAAGCAGCTGGACAAGTATGGGCTGGAGCCCACCGTTTACTTTGGAGTCGTGTTTTACATACCCAGTGTCACCCAACTGCAACAGGAGATCACAAGGTGATCAGTGGCAGGAAGTGTCTTTACAAAGCCACTGCTCTTTTTTTTCTCTTTTACTGTTTGTCGCTCAAGACTACTGGCAAGAAAGACCTTAGAGAATTTTAGACAAAATTTAGTGCCGCCACATCAAGTATTAAAAAGTTGTACTGACTATCAGCTACAGTAGTTAAAACACTCTTGCTTGATTGTACAGTTTTTTTGTTTTATTTATTGATTTGGCCATTAAACATTGAGTGTTAATTTATCTGGTGCTGTATGCTAGATGTTTTGTAATTAATGATGTTATATCTGAAACATGAAGATAGTTCTTGTTTTGCTTGCCAGTCTTCTGCTCCTAACAGTTGCTTCCTCTCTCTACAGATATCAGTATTACCTGCAACTGAAGAAAGATGTTTTAGAGGGCAGGATATCGTGCTCACTCGAACAAGCTATACGTTTGGCCAGCCTGGCAGTGCAAGGTATTGTGGATGTATTATACTAGCCTGATGGCAGAATTTGTAGTTTGGTAAGTCCTGTGTTCCTTCTTGCCCTCACAGAAGGCACAACGTGTTCAGTGTGGTGTCACGTCTTCTGGTGCAAGCTGCTCTGTGTTGTTTCAGTTGTGCACATTGCAGGTTTTTTTTTGACCTGGTACAGTGCTGCTGATACTGCAGCCAGGAAGAAGACATGAGTATGTGTTCATGTCAGTTTTCACTACCAGTTTAATGATGGATGTGTCATTACAGAAGCATAGAAGTTACAGCATCAGCACTGGTACAAGACTGCTCCTCCTGTACCAGGAAGAAAAAAAGCAAGAGGACAGATTAAACATTAACCATGGTCCGCTTTAAGCTGTGGCGACGTTATTTTTGCGAGAAACACGACGAGTGCTGTGAAAATAAAGGGGTCTCAAGTCTCAAGCAAAGAGATTGGAGGAGTTGTACTGGAAATGAGTTTTCATCAATTATTTCTGAATAGAAGTCTAGTTTTCCACCTAAAGCACAGCTAAAAAAAATTGAAATCAAGTTGCATACAAATTGTTGGGATTAATGGTACTTTTTTTTTTTTTTTTTTTTAAATCTCAGCATCTTGTTTTAGAGGTTTGCTCCTCACAGTAGTTTGTCAGAAACCTCCGTTCAGCTGTTTAACGGATAGATTATAAGAACATTTTTACAATTTTTGTGTATATATATATATATATATATATATATATCTCAACACTGAAGAAGAACTCTACATCCTAAACATATCTATGAAACTGATCAACAGTGAGTGAATTTGAACACTCTTTGCTTGAGTTTGAGCTCCTGTAACGTTCGCTCAGCTGGAAGAATCTCAGACAGTGCTGGCAGAGTTATATCAGGCGCTGCAGCTTACTTGCCTGGGTGTTACAGCATAGCTGTGCTGCTGAGATCACTTACTGCTGCAGCCATATTCAAATGCCTGACTAACATTCAATGTTTAGAAAAGCACACTGAATCTTCTTGCAGTTGCCCTTCATATTTAGTCTGTGCTTTGTTTGCAATGAAAACTTGTGCAGTGTGCCGCGAGTAAAGCTGTTGGGAATGGAGGACAGTTGTAGCCTTTAAGCACAGCTGATGTCTGGGGAAAAAAAGAAAAAGAAAAGCTGTTAATGTTGCCAGAAGGAAGCCTGAGGCTGTAACAGTTTAGGACCTCTACGTTATCAGACGCTGGTGGGCTAACAAACAAATATCTCCCCTTCTAAATTTAGTCCATCATGTCATCATACACTACAGCTTTCCAGAAGGCATTACAGCGTTCTGCAAGTCCTGAATGTCTATTTTGAATTGTACTGCAAGCGGAAATAGACATAGGATTTATTGAGAGAGCCTTGGAGTCTGCTTTGCTACAAATGTCTGTACTTTATGCTCTATTGTTTCTTCTTGCCCACAGCTGACTTTGGAGACTTTAATCGATATGATTCCCAGGAATTCCTTCAGAAGTTTGAACTGTTCCCCATTGTAAGCATTCTCCACTTGTTCTCCATTAAACTCAGATGTTCTTTTGTGTGGATTGGATCAAACACGTTTCTCTCGCTCTGTCTTTGCAGGACTGGATTCAGGATGAGCGAGTGCTGGAAGAGGCCATTCAGAAAGTGGCTCTTCTTTATCAGTCCTTCAAGTAAGCCAGATTTCGAAGTATCAGTCTACCCGGTCACACAAATGGCGAGCAGAGGAAACACACTGGCTCTGATTTGGTCTGTTCGGAGATTGGGGCTTTTGGTTCTTGGTCGTCTCTACTCTGAGTAGAATGTATAATGTAAACGTTTAAGGCAAATAACGCATTTGGTTGATTTTTGTAACAACGGTAAACAGTTAATTTAACAAACTGTCATTCATCAGATTTTAATGACTATCTTTACCTCATGAGATAAAAAAATAAATAAATAAGTAAACAAATTGTTAATAAAGCTGTGTCACTTCTACTTATAGTGTCATTAACTTTTTAGTATCTCGTAGGAAACATGAGGTGATGAAAGTTTCAGAGGACAACAAACTGTTTTACACTCGAAGCCTTTCTGTTGATCCTTGACCATTTTACAAACTAGGGTTCCCTAAATATCTGACTGAGGATGCACAATAAGGGGCTAAATGTTGTTTCTCCTAACAAAAAAGCTGTTGTTAGGAGAAAAATACCTTTTAGTAGTGGTACAGAGGTGAGAGGTTGGGCACTGTCGCCACACGGCAAGAAGATCCTGCGTTTGAATCCACTGGGTTGCATGTTCTTCCTATACCTGTGGCTACAATGGCTTCCTCCCACAGTCCAAAGATGTACAGGTTAGATTAACTTAAGCGTGAGTGGTCATCAGTCTCCGTGTGTGTCCAGAGTGTGCCTGGCCTCATGCTTCATGACAGCTGGGATTGGCTCCAACCCCACCGTCACACAGAATTGGAGCAAATGCACAAGCAAATACATATAAAGGCTGTTTCGATTAATACACATCTCTTCTGATTAATATGTTTATATGATCACAGTACTGTTATCATTTTCTTGATATTTTTTAAAAATCTTTTCAGGGGTTTGCCAGTTCCAGAGGCAGAGATGTTGTACATGCAGGAGGTTGAGAAAATGGAGGGCTATGGCCAAGAAACCTTTCAAGCCAAGGTAGGTCTGTGAAAGCCACTGGATCATCACTGGATCCTTTAACAAGTATGACACTGGCTTACAAAATTCTCCTTTGGTCATACCAGGACAATACAGGTGCAGATGTTACCCTGGGTTCCTGCCTTGACGGCATCTTTGTCAAGCACAAAAGCGAGCGTCCGCTTGTTTTATACAGGTGAGCCTAGGAAAAATGATTGCAATTATACCTAAAGAACTGAAATCTGATTTACTTCTAAGAATGGGGGGGGGAAAGTGTGACGGCCACACAACTCAATCTGGAAGACAGAGTTTTGTGGCACAGCTTACTTACAAGCTATTCTTGGTTAAGGTTGTCTCCTTAATGTTCTCCAGCCTTGAATATGGCTCAGGAGGTAGGTGGGTCAAGTAGACTGTGATAGCTGATGAGGATGTTTGGGAATGTTATCTGTCAGTTTTGTGAGTATGTGAACATTAAAGTATTTAGCTATGTACCAGTATGAGTTCTAGATGGCTTTTGATTGACTCCCACATATGCATGTTTTTAAAGCAACCATGTCTGTAAAAACGCCCTGAGGTTTTGTGACCACCATGACATCATGTGTTGTTTTTTTTTTCCTTTCTTCCCCCCTCCTTTCTTCCTCTGTGCCGCTGTGCTTTAATTGGCTGTGTAGGTGGCATGATATTAACAACATGAGTCACAACAGGTCTTTCTTTGCCCTGGAGCTAGCCAACAGAGAAGAGAGTGTTCAGTATCAGACCGTGAGTAACTGCAGTGTCTTTTCCATCCCTAGTGACATTGCTGTCTGTTATTGGATTTTGATAATTTGGAGATGGCCTTCATCATTAACCTTAGCATAGTGTGTGTGTGGGGCCATGAAATCACACTGGCATTCCCAGGATTGCCTTTATTTGTCCATAACTAAGCAAATACTAGTCTGTACCACATGTTTAGCCATCTAATTTTTGTTTTTCTTTCTCATGTGTAGGAAGACATGGAAACCTCCAAATATGTGTGCCGGATGTGTCTGGCCAGGCTCAAGTTTTATAAGATTAACATGAGTAGCCTGTGAGTGTTTTTTCTCTCCACCCGTCTACCCCAAGCTGTCTCTTTGTTCATCGTTGTCTCATGCATGGGTGTCATCTTTGGTGTAGTCTCATGTCTGTACTCCTTTCCTCCTCTCTCTTCAGAGAGGAGTGTGACCCCCTGCCTTCTGAGGGCTCCCAGAAGTCCCTTCTCTTTCTATCCTTTCCTCGTTTTCCAATGCTCTCTCGTCCCTCTCTGCCTTCTAATAAGGGGTGAGGAACACAGTCAGCCAACGCCTACAGTATGCCTGCCAGACAAGTGCCATTATTCATTCCTTTCAGCTGCTTACCCAACAGTGCCACCACAAATACGCTTCCTGCATATTTGAAATGGGCCTTGGGTTTTGAACCACACAGTGATTCTTAATTTAAGTGAAATACATTTTTAGATTTGAGTTACTACTTAAAGCCAGTACACAGGGTTGCACATTTTATTGACTTTTAGATGAATTTCAGCATCTGTGAATCTAAAAGTAATGTAACTGAACTGCGTTGGGTTGAATCAAGGGACTATTAAGAGTGTCAGAACTCTATACGTGTTGAGTAATGAGTCAGATACATTCATGAGACGAAGAGCTTAGTCACGTTCTTTCACTTCTGTGTTGCATATTTTCAAGTCTAAAACAAGGTTAGACTGCATTTTATTTGGGCAGTGCGTTGTTGTTAAGACAAAATCTAACTTCTGCTAAACTGTCTTTAACAATTGGTAAATGAAAAGTGAATGTAAAATCAAAACATGACTCATCAAGCATGTACACTGGTGTACTGGAGAAGAATAGCACGACATGTTTTATGGACTTAACCTGGTCTGCACCTTTCCAGGTGTGCCATATCAGTGTCCAAGAACAACATCAAGTATTGCAAAACACTTTTTTGTAACAGCAGTAGTGGGTAAGTTCATCTTTGCTGACTCACGTTTTGTTTTGGTTTTTTTTTTCCTCTGCTAGCCAACCCCAGCCCACAGTTGTCAACCCAGTCAGACGGAGATCCTCTACTAGGGTATCTCTGGTAATGCCCACACTCACTTAAAACACACAGATTTAAAAAGTTGCATCTTTGCTTTATTAAAAAAACAAACAAGGAAAATGTATTTAATGTGGGGGGAAGGAAAATACATACAGCTTACAACATAATGGTCTTGTAAAACAGTAGTTTATTTTGAAACGCATCCTTAAGAAAAATAATTCTGCATTTGTTTTTAATTGAAAAGTTGACAAATTTTTGCACTCTCTCGTGGGTATTGTTATAATGAATAATCATTGTTTAGAAGCAGTGTTTGATTCTTTGCTCCTTGGCAGCGTTTGGCTCATATTAGCACTGATTAAATTTCTTTCTTTCTTTCTTTCTTTTTTTTTTCTTTTTTGATTTCCAGCCAAAGCCGCAGACCTACATGATGCCCCCTCCACAAATGCACTACAATGGCCATTTCACAGAGCCTTACACATCATCACAGGGTAAACTCTTCTTCTTGTCTTTTTTGTTTTGGTTACATCTAAATGCTTAAACTGTTCTTTAGTTATAATGGAATTTTCTCACTTGCTCATAGACAACCTGTACATGAACAGTCAGAACGGTTTCTACTACCACTCTCAGACCAGCCTGGACTGCTCTCCTCTAGAATACAGTAGTGGAGGACGTTTACGTAATGGCAGCGTGTACAGTGCCCACAGTACCAGCTCCCTAACCAATCCCCAGCACTACCTTCAGCCTTCACCCATGTCCTCCAACCCCTCTATTACAAGCGACATAACCAGACCAGACTACGTCCCCTCTCACCGGCACAGCGCTCTCATCCCACCTTCTTACCGTGCCACTCCCGATTATGAGTCAGTGATGCGTCAGAAGAACCGAGGTGCAGGGGGAGGAATGGTTTTGTCTCAAGAGCACAGGCAAAGCCACTCTATGAGGAACCTAAATATTGGAAACTCCTATGCCTACAGTAGACCAGATCCTCTAGTTTACAGCCAGCCAGAAATCAGGGGGGAGCATGGCGGGGCAGCTCAGCACCACCACTATCCCTTGCATTTGGGCTCCAGCTTCCACAGCCCTTCTCCATACCCCTACCCTACAGAGAGGCGATCTGTGGTGGGGGCAGTAAGTGTCCCAGAGCTCACAAATGTCCAGTTACAACAGGCACAAGAGTATCCAGCCCCCAACATCATGAAGACACACGTGTACCGATCGCCTCCACCTTACCCATACGCTCATCCTAGACCAGCTAACAGCACACCTGATCTGTCACGTCACCTGTACGTCAGCAGCAGCAATCCAGACCTGATTATAACAAGGCGTGTGCACCACTCAGTCCAGACCTTTCAGGAGGACAGCCTGCCCGTTGCACACTCTTTGCAAGAGGTCTCAGAGCCTCTTTACAGCGGACCTCCACAAAGGCAGCAGTACCATGCTCAGAAACGTAACTCCATTGAGATTGCTGGGTTGGCGCAAAGTTTTGAGGGGATGAGGGTCAAAGAGCGCACGGCGTCTTCTTCAGCAGCTGAAATGGCCACACCTCCTCCAGTGCTGCATGGCGGGCGCTCTCAGGGATCCCAGCTCAATGTGTTTTTGGAACAAAAAAATCCAGAAGACATTGAAGACATTAAGGAAGATGTGCAGTACGGACATAAAAAGTCCCTTTCAGACGCCACCATGCTAGTTCACAGTAGCGGAGAAGAAGAGGACTTTGAGGATGACAGTGGACGTCACACACCACTTTCTCAGGAGGCATTCGTTCCCGAGCAGCCGCCACAGCAGCATCACCACAGTCTGACATCTCTCTCTTCCCTGACACCTCAGCAGCAGCAGACTCCGACAGAGCCTCCTCCTGCATATCCCATAGGCTCCTCTCTTGACCCCTCTATAACCGGCACCTTAACCTATAAGGTTCATACCCTGATCCATGAACGTGAGCCACTGTACCTAGTATCAGAGTTACAGCAGCCCAGGATTATGCCTTCGGTTTCAGAGGGAGACTTGAGTGGTCAGGAGAAGCCGAGGCCCAAGAAAGACTTCAAGAAGAGGCCTGTGTCTGATGTTCCTCCTGGGAAGAAAGCAGTAGAAGGTTTACCTCCTGCGGTGAGTCTTGTTTCCAAATTTCCCCCGTTGTTCAGAGTATTTTAATAATATGCTGTTTCTTTTTTGATTTTTTTTTTTTTTTTTTTTAACTGGGAGTTCTCCCAACCAGTCCACATGTGTTTTGTGGACTTGGAGACTGCGTCCTTTGTAGTATCCTGTGGGGATGCGTCATGAGTATGGACTGACTGCCCTGTTACTACAAGCCATTTGAACACTGTAACTGTTGCAGGAGCTTGGAGCCAGCAAATAAGTCAGACTCGTTCTCAATGCATGTAGGACTCCGCCAGGGCTGCCCTGGTCACAGATTCTGTTTATAATTTTTATACAGAACTTCTAGGTTTAGCCAAGTGGCAGAAAGCTTCCACTTTGATGGCCTCAGGATTTCACCTCTGCATTTGGCAGCTGATATGGTCCCACTGACTTCATCAGGTGGTGGCCTCCAGGTCACAATGGAGCCGAGGACGAAGTGGCAGGAATGAGAATCAGTCTGGAGAAATTACATCTCTCAGCTGGCTTGGGAACGTCTTGCTACTCCCTCACATTAGCTGGTGAGAGGGATGGATGAATGGACCTACATTAACTATAATACATCAATGTATTTCTTTACAGTAGGAGCATAGTACGGTAGTGCTTTAATAAAAAAGTTGGAAAAGCATTCTTCCTGGGCTTTTCTTTTTTTGGCCATCGTTCCAGACCAATTTTCTTCTCACTCCACCTCGCTCCAAATTAGCTCTTTTGGTGCCTTTCCGGTTGTTCAGTGATGACGCGACGAATCCTACTTCCGGGTCTAAAGTAGTCTGCGTTTAATATGGCTTTTGTGTTGTTAACATGTTTAATGT